CTATCCTAAAGTGCAAAAAAAAATTAAAATTATAAGATAAAGTTTAAGACTTTAACTTACTACTTTAATTATTTTCTTCCAGTTGCTAAAAATCTACTAGCATTCTATAAAAATTATTAAATGCATGGTTATTCGGCTAATGAATCATAAGTTAAGCTAATGCAAGATAATGCATAATAACGCAGCCGTGTCTCAGTGGTTAGAGTTCAGACTCAGATCCCAGAGGTCCAAGGTTCGAGGCCGGCTCTAATAATAATCAACATTGATAAAAAAGGGGGCGTGAACTCCCTAGTTAAATGCTACTACGCAGTGCTCTGTGGTAAAACACTTTAATAACTACAACAACAAAAAAAAGTTAGTTAAAATTCAACATAAAAGTCCAAATTTCTTTTTCTATTAAAAGTGTTTTTAAAATCCAAAATCGGCTCTCAGTTAAATTCGGTAAAAAGATCTAAATTCGTCTTTAAGTTAAATTCGGGGTACAAATATAGCCTAAATTTGTCTTCCAGTTAAATTTGGTGTATATATATGGACTAAATTTGTCTTGAGAAGTTGACTTCGCCGGCCCTTTTTTGTTAGAGGGGAAAGGAGGGGGTCAAATGTCTTAATTTTTGGCGACCCCTTACTAAAGGGTCTACTACACGGCTGTTTCACTCAATATAAAAGCGAGCTTGACGTCACAAGAATTTTTGTGTTTATAAAAAGTATAAAAATTTACTAACTTTAAAATAATAGTATTTTTTTTTCTATAAACGCTTTTAGGGCAAACTGACCTATTAGTGGCCACGTCCTATTAAGAGCCGCTTTTTTGAGGGCTCTTTTCAAAGATTTTTTAAACAGGTTGATCAAATATTTGGATTTTTTCTTCAGCTATTTGTACTATAAACAATATGCAATATATATATTTAAGCTACAGTTTATAAATAGAATATTTATATTATGTTAAAGATATCGCTTTTTTTGGGGAGAAAAGTAGCCGGTTTTGGATTTTTTAAACATATTTAAAATAGTTTTTATGATGCATTTTTTTAGTTCAGTTATTTAAGAACGTTTATTTTAAAATTTTAGTCATACATTTATCTTTTAAACACTTTGTTGAACTGCAAACAATAAGTTTTAGAATTTTGAAAGGCTTTGTATAGCACCACTCACATCGCCCAATTATTGGCCGTATAATGTACCAATTTGTAGCCATTACAATTTTTCAATATTACCCATATGTTATTTGTTTGTTTTTATTTTTTATTGTAAACTTAGTTATTTTTTGTGCTAATACAAACATAATATTAAGAAATTTATTTAATTTACTCACTTAGTTATTCAAATACCTATTTCTTTCATTTGTAAGGTAAAACAAGACTGTTACAAAACAATATAATAATAACAATATCTCTGAAAAACTCAGACTATTAAAGAAGCAAAGTATTTTAACCTAAGTACTAAGCTTACTTAAGGTAATTATGCTCTGTTCTTTAATGATTTAAATTATTATTGTTATTATTATTATCATATATATATATATATATATATATATATATATATATATATATATATATATATATATATATATATATATATATATATATATATATATATACATATATACATATACATATTTATATATATATATATATATATAAATATGTATATATATATATACATATACATATATATATATATATATATATATATATATATATATATATATATATATATATACATATACATATTTATATATATATATATATATATATATATATATATATATATATATATATATATATATATATATATATATATATATATAATATTCTTATATTTAATTCGATTAATGTATACATATTCTTCAATAGTCGAATTTGTTTTGGTATATTTTTTTTTAGCAATAACAAAATTATGAAGAAAATTAAACGTTTTCAATGGTCAAAAACTAACATGCAAAATGCCATTAATGCAGTTAAAAGTAGTTCATTATCACAAAGATCAGCAGCTATTGAATATAAAATTCCCAGAGCAACACTAGGAAAATATCTTCGAGGAGACTCCTTAATTGGAGTTAAACCTGGACCTCCACCAAAATTACCAAATCATATAGAAAAAAAGTTAGTTGATTATTCCACATCTAGAGCAAATCGTGGTATTGGGTTTGGGAAAAGACAATTTATGAAATATGTCTCACAGCTTAGTAAGAAACACCAGATAAATTTTAAACATGATACCCCATCAGAAAAATGGTGGCAGTTATTTAAACAACGACATAAGACTATGGTTTTAAGAAAACCTGAAGGAACATCATCTGTTCGACATCAATGCATGTCAGTCCAAAAAGTTTCTAAATATTTTTTAGCACTTCAACAAGTTTTTAATAAGTTGGGTACTCATGTTATGCCTTCTTCAATTTGGAATATGGATGAGACTGGACTTCAATTAGACTTTAAACCACCCAAAATTGTTGCAGCACGGGGTGCCAAGCATCTTCAGTCTCGTACTTCAGGAAAAAGGGAAACCATCACTGTAATTGCTGCTGTGAATGCAGCTGGTAAAACTATACCTCCACATCTAATACCAAAAGGTAAAACAATAAAATCACTTCAAGCTTTTAATACAAGTGATGCACCAGTTGGTTCAAAATGGAGTGTTAGTGAGACTGGATGGACAAAACAAGGAATAGCATACCTTTGGTTTACAAATACATTTTTGCCAAACATTGGAACTAACAGGCCCCAGGTATTATTAGTTGATGGTCATGATTCTCACAATTCAGTTGAGTTATTATCTGTTGCTATTGACAACAACATTGAAATTGTTGAGATGCCAGCACATTGTTCTCACTGGTTGCAGCCATTAGATCGTACTGTATTTGGTCCCTTGAAGACTTACTACAATACTTGTTGTCATGATTTAATGAATACATACTCTGTTACAATCAATAAGTCTAACTTCTGTGGATTGTTCAAGAAAGCTTGGGATCAAGCATTAACTGCCACTAACATTATTTCTGGTTTTCAATCATGTGGTATCTTTCCCTATAATCCTTCTGCAATTCCATATGAGGCCTACTTGCCCAATTCACTTTACTCTGACCAGTTATTAGGGAATGAGAATTTGATTAAATCAAGTTTTGATTCCTTCAAAAATGATACCATAAATTATCAATCTGGAATATCACTAAACAATGCTTTTGAAAAACAGGTGGATCCTAATTCAAATTGTACTTTTATTCATGATGTTGATACAACTGAAACTATAGGCATCTTGACTGGATCAGATATTCTGAATGTAGATTTAGCTCAGCTGGATAATGACACAGCATTAATGTTATGGAATAGTTGTTTAACTCCAGAGCATCTGACTGCTTTTAATTTCTGTTATCAAAATGGTTTTGATATTTCTGACAATTTGTATTTAGCATACAAAGACTTTCGTATAAACCAGAATGCAATCAGTGATGTTTCTTTTGATCTCTCATTAAGAGAAGCTGCTGAAACAATTGCTTTATCAGAAGAAACTGATATTCACTCTGTCTCTATACCAAATACTAGTGTTGATTATTCTAGTCCAATATCTATTAAAACAGATTCACTGAAAAGTACCATTGACAATGATCATGATGTTATCTCTTGCCCAAATTTTTATGTCAATAAGTCAAAAAACAATAGAAATACTAAACAAAAGTATTTTGTTCTAACTTCTCCTGAAGCTATGCAAGCCAAGTTAAATGATCTAAAAAAGAAAGAGGAAAAAGTTGAGGCTGCAAAAATAAAAAAATTGAAGCAACTTGATGCAAAAGAAAAGAGATTAAAACTGCAACAGGACAGAGAATTAAAAAGGCAACTGAAACATATTGATTTTGTTATTAATAAGTGAACAAGTTAATATTTTTTATCAAATTTTGTTAGTACTTTTTGATGTATTTCTTGAGTTTTGATTGTTAAAATTTCTTTGAATCAATATACAGTTTTACAAATAATTTATTTTGGCCATTGTTGAAGGGGTACTTATGTCTAAGCTAGTTTTTATTGAGTAATTATAACGTTTAAAAAATTATAAAAATTTGATGTGTAACAGTTAATAATCAATATTTAACTAGTTTATATTGATTATTTACATTTTAAAGCCTTTTTTTTTTATTCATTATAAATCTTATTAAAATTAAATTATTTTCACAACATTTTAACCTGTGGCAAAGTTAGTAGAATCTAATATTTCAATAAAAAGTGAACTGGCTCATAATTAGTCAACCCGGCCATTAATTGGTGTTTATTCAAAATTTTAATTCAAATGAATTGTTTACATTGTTGTTTTTTTATATTTTGGTAACAATTACACAAAATAAATTAAAAGAATGTCTATTATTAAGTATAGCAAAAAAAAATTTAAATCTGACAATATTACTGTGTTCAGAGTGCCTTTAAAAAAAGATGTGGCCATTAATTGGTCAGTTTGCCCTATCTTAAAGTTAAAAAAATATAAAAGAACTATCTTTCTTAAATAAATATTCACATTAAACGAAATAAAAATAAACATTATTAAAATATTTTTAATGATTTGGGATCACTTTTCTGTTTTTTGGCGATTTTAACGGAAAACCTGTTTTTGGCCAATCAAGATTTAATATTAAGCTACATGCTTGATTGTTGAAATTTTATATACTTATTAACGAATGTCTATTTTATCAGATTTTTGGTGAACATAGATAAAAAAAAGATTTTAAGTTGGATTTTTTAGCATTTATATTTTTGTTATTCCTTGTTTTATATGAAAAACGTTATATTTTTGTTAAGTTCACCAAATTATTGAAATTACAACCTTTTATGCACATGAAAATCAAAAAAATTACTTTCTGTACTTCAAGCTAAAACGTCTTTAACCTTGTCAGGTTTAGCAAGAAAGTTTGCAATTACATGCGCAAAAATTTTGTTTATATTTTAAAGCAATGACGTAACTTTAAATACCAATTTACTATCTAACTAAATTTATTAAAACAGCTTTTTTAGCGAGACAAACTTTATTGTATAAACAAACCTTTTTTTCCTTGTGGCTAATCTACAAGCAGACTTCAATAAAAACTGTTTTAGTGAATCTTTAACAATTAAGTAAGGTTTTTATATTTTAATAATAGTCAAACAACGAGTTTATTTGATAATAACTATCAGAAATATATTTTTCTGATTTTTTTTTTGATAACAAGTAACGATAAGTTACTAAAATTTAGCCAAGTTCATCATTTGTCGCGTTTTTTATAAACTAAAAGAAGTTTTTATACTATTGTATTAAATGTCGTATGATGAAATATTTTATTGTTGTTTTTATTCTTTTTACAAAACAAAATTGTCTCAAACATTTCAAAAGTTATAAATGTTTTAGTAACACCCCCTAAGTAAAAAAAAAAAACAAGAAGCCGTAAAGCTCACTCTGAAACAGCCGTAACAGCCTTAGCCGCAAAAATTTTTAAACAAGAACGGTAAATAAATAAAATACAGTAAACGATTTTATCGACCAACTTTTGAGGGATGTTAACGTCTGCTAACCATTTTCTGCTTACCATTTTAAAATTGATCGCAGTTTTATTTAAGCAATCCTTATAATCAAATTTTGTTACTTATATGTCCTTAACTTTTTGCAGAACAGTTAGTTTATATTAAAGTTTTACTATTGTAATACTAATTTTAGCCTCTTTCCAATGGTATATAATAATCTAATATATAGATAGTTTAACATTTTTACATACGTACCTACATTTTCCCAGTTTCTAAGCCTCTGTTATTTATATAACTATAAATATAATCTATGCATTTATAATAAAAATTATACTGTGCAAATTTTGACATAATTTTGTATTTTGTTGTTTAGCATGTTTAAAGTACACAGGTTAGTGTCATTTATTGGTGTATGTTTGGCTTTAATTTTTTGCAAGAGAATCCATGATGACGAATCTTCTTTTTCTGCTTCAAACACAAATTTTAAAATTTTAATTGAACATGCATTTGGTGTTCAAGACACATTTACTCCAAAAGGTAAAGTACTTGTGAAAGCCAATCGTGCAGGTGGAGGTGCTTCAGCTACATTAATTGAAGAACTTACATTAAATGAAAATGATTTTGAAAAATTATCTGCTTTAGTGAAAGAAAATGGCTTATATTTCATTAGAACATTATCTCATAATAGAGATGACATTAGCAAATCTCAGCAGTATGTATCCACATTTGTAAAAGCATGTTATTTAGTTGGCTCAGGAATGAACGAAAAAATAAGTATTTCCATAGATAATGAAAATAATATATTGGGTTTGAGTTTGATTTCTCCATCAAGTGACTGTAATAATAACCACAAGAAATTGAGAATGTTTAACTCTACTGTACATATAATACAACAGGTAGCTAAATATATTTTAATAAATTACTTTAAAGCAGTTTAAAAGCTCTATACGTTTCTATCATTTTTCCAGTTAGTTTTTTTGTGACAAGTAATAAAGGGGTGTCTTGAGATATCAAACTCTATAGCCGAGTTATATGTTTTACATCTACATATATTACATATAGTAATCTTCATATTCTCTATTCTCTAAATTTTTTTTTCATCTTCATATTCTCTAAAATTCTCATACAAATAAGTTGTATACAGCTCCTGAAACATTTTACTCAGGCAAATTACTTTTGACAATTCAATGTTACAGTGTAAAGTTTTTACTTTGTTTAAGGTTTCAGTAAATAAATTTTTTTCTTATTTTCTATATAATGTTATTAGTCAAATAGAACAAATAAGATGAGTTTACTTGTTACGTCTTGTAAGAGGAAAATATTTCTTCCAAAATTCTTTTTCCTACTTTCAGCAAAAAAAAAAATTATAAAGTAGAAATAATTGTTACCGTTACCTTTTTTGATTTCTTTAGTAAGGTTTCTGTTTTGTACTGTTAATTGCTATTAATTTCATTCAAATAAAATTTTACAAATGCATGCTGTTCTTTTGAACTAAACTTTTTAGAAACTATATAAATGTTAGTTAGTTACTTAGCCACGTAGTTACTTTAGAATTGTCATAATGTAGTAGTCATTAACTAGCTACAGATTTGTCATTATGTTGTAGCTAGCTACAAAGCTAGAATATGTAGCTAAATATATATGTGTATATATACTATATATATATTATATATATATACATATATATATATATATATATATATATATATATATATATATATATATATATATATATATATATATATATTTATATATTATATATTATTATTATATATATATACATTATATATATATATATATATACAACCCTCAAAATTAGGGTCGGCATTCGGCAATGCCAACCTCAAAAAGATTGAGGTCGGCAATAACTTGTCGACCTCATTTTTCCTAATTCTGAGGGTTGTGTGTATATATATATATATATATATATATATATATATATATATATATATATATATATATATATATATATATATATATATATATATATATATATATATATATATTGATTGATGTTAAATTTGTATTACAATAGTAATACAAAACTCTATTTCGGTTAAGAGTGCTCAATAATAAAGAAAGTAAACAACTTTCTAACTAGAGCGGTATATATTTATTTTTATTTACATATAGAAAAAACAACTTTTCATGGGACTAATAGTTTCATGCCTATACGGCAATCATCAGCCATGTACTATATCAAAAACAAACAAACCGTTAATAAAATTACAAAATACAGTGGAGCGACATCTGACGTCTCTATAGAGACAAAAAAAGAAAACGTCAAAGAAAAGGTCAGGTCAGGTTTATCCTGCTACTGGTAACATGTAACCCAGTACAATCTGCTTTATGTCCTGCTGCCTTGTAGGATATGCCTTTTTAGGCAAAGGCTAGGAGATGCAAACTCCGACATAAAACACCCCCTGCCTTGGGGCTCTTAGTTGAGTAAAGGCTAGAGATGGTGTCTAGATAAAAATACTCATCTTGGGCAGATGTTACATGCATCCGGCTGCTGTCTTGTAGAAGGCCTCCTAGGCAAAGACTTAAGGGGTAAACAGATTCTATCTGTTGACCAGCCTCGCACCCCTTCTTCATCTATTAGGCTGGCGCAGATGTATTTTTAATACATTGTTTCCAGTTTAGGATGTTGAACGCTGGATCTTCTTGACTCGATTCATGGGTTTTGCTTGTGTCTCTGTTTTTATGACTAGGCAACTCATTCTATTATCTCCAAATGAGGGTACAGCTCTAAAACTCAGTTTTATGGTTCTGAGGCCGGCTGGTAGTCAGGTTTCCCGAACTCTGTGGTAGCTCTCAGAGAGGCTGATTCCATCAACAGCTGAAAAATATCAGAGTACTAACAGTGCCATGTTGCGCATGGATGGTGTCCCTGTTTGTACTTTTGGTGTGCATTGCCAAGGCCACATTGGAGCCCTTTGTTACGGCTTAGTGTTTATTAGTGGAAATGAGGCAATTGCTTGAGCTATAGAACAGTGTACTGAGTACTATCAATGTTTCGAGTCAAGTTCTTTAACAAATTTAAAAATGAATAAAGTAACAAAAACTATAAAACACAAAAAACCACAGTCATCACCAAGTTCGCTAAACCTATCATTCACCAATATTTGTGGTCTTTGAAGTAACTTTTCTTCTGTTGAGTCTTATCTCTTGCAAAGTTCACCAGACCTGCTTGCTCTTTGTGAGACTAATTTGAGTTCAGCTGTCTCATCTTGTGATCTTAGTGTTGATGGTTATCTTCCTTTAATTCGTAAAGACTCCAAAAGTCACATGCTTGGCCTGGGCATTTACATTCGTAAGAATTCACCCATTTGTCGGGAAACTAGGTTTGAATCCACAGGCTACTCTTTTATGTGCTTTCATTTAGCAACACTTCACTCTATCACCTTTCTCTTTGTTCTATATCGCTCTCCCTCATCCCAAGACTGCACTCTTCTTGATGTTATTTCTGATTATATAACCCAAATCATTTACCTTCTCTACTCGACTTATGTCTTGTTTCTGATCCTAGTCAGTGTTCAGTTTCTTCACACTCACCCTTAGGTGCGTCTGATCATGGTTTGGTCTCTCTAAAACTATTATCTCATTCTTCTTTACCATTAGAATCCCCCTATCATCGTACATCTTACAACTACCTTAAAGCTGACTGGGACTCTTTTCGTGACTTTCTTCGTGATGGCCCCTGGGTAGAAATCTTTTGTCTCCCTGTTGACAAATGTGCTTCTTACATAACTTCGTGGATTCAGGCTGGCATGGAATCCTTTATTCCCTCTCGACGATTCCAGGTCAAGCCTCACTCTTCTCCATGGTTTTCCTCACATTGTGCTGCTGCAATTGCCAATCGAAACCATTACTTCCATATCTATCAGCGAAACAATTCTCCAGAAAACAGACGTCTCTTTATTACTGCTAGGAACCATTGTAAAAAGGTTTTGTCTAACGCCAAAACCCGCTATTCTCAGATCATGAAATCTCGTATTTCATCACAAAAATTAGGCTCTCGTGACTTTTGGAGAATCTTTAATAGTATCAATAATAAGAGCAAGTCTGTAATTCCACCTCTTTTGTACAGTTCAGACTTTGTCACCTCACCTAAAGACAAAGCTGAATTGTTTGCCAAGAACTTTTCATCAATATCATCTCTTGATGCCACTAGTTGCGTTTTACCTGATATACCCGTCAAACAGGTTGATCCATTGCTTGACATTCATATCACTCCAGCTTCTGTATCTAAAGTGATTTCCCGCTTAGACTCTTCTACAGCTTGCGGCCCGGACAACATTCCTGTTATAGTCTTGCAGAAGTGTTCTCCGGAGCTGTCGTCTATCTTTTCAAAACTATTCAACAAGTGCTTATTAGAGTCTTGTTTTCCAGCCTGCTGGAAAGCAGCATCTGTTATCCCTATTTTTAAAAATTCTGGAGAGCGATCTGACTCATCTAACTACCGTCCCATTAGTCTTCTTCCTATCATAAGCAAGGTTTTTGAATCTTTAATTAACAAACACTTAATCTCTCATCTCGAATCTCATAACTTACTTTCTGATCATCAATATGGATTTCGATCTTCTTGTTCTACGGCTGATTTGCTATCAGTAATAACCGACAGGTTTTATCGCGCATTAGATAATAGTGGAGAGGTTAAGGCCATTGCTCTTGGCATTTCTAAAGCGTTTGATAAATTTTGGCATGCTGGTCTCCTCCATAAGCTTTCTTCTTATGGTGTATCTGGAAACATCTTTAAGATTATTGAATCCTTCCTTTCCAATCGTAGTATAAAAGTTGTCCTTGATGGACAGCACTCTTCTTCTTATTCTGTAACCCTCAGGGGTTCCCCAAGGTTCAATCCATGGCCCTATACTCTTTTTAATTTACATTAACGATCTTCCAGATATTCTCACATCTAAGGTGGCATTGTTCGCTGATGATACTACCATTTATTCTTGTTACGATAAGAAGCCCACTCCCTCTGATTGCTTGCAGGGGGCATCTGAGCTCGAAAAGGATCTCACTTCTGCTACAGCATAAGGCTCGCAGTGGCTGGTGAACTTTAATTCAGATAAAACTCAATTTTTTTCGGCCAATCATTATCGCAATAATTTAGACCTTCCTGTATTTATGAACGGTAATGTACTCGATGAGTCTCCTACCCTTCATCTTCTAGGATTAACTCTTACTTCTGATCTTTCTTGGAAACCTTATATCAAATCCGTTGCAAAATTAGCATCTGCTAAAGTTGCTTCTCTTTATTGAGCTTGTCACTTTCTTACTCCTGATTCTATTCTCTATCTCTATAAATCTCAAATCCGGCCTTGTATGGAATACTGTTGCCATATCTGGGGCGGATCTTCTAATGATGCCCTTTCTCTTTTAGACAAGGTGCAAAAACGCATTGTAAATATAGTTGGACCTGCTCTTGCAGCCAACCTTCAACCTCTGTCACATCATCGTAATGTTGCTTCTCTTTCTCTTTTCTACAAATGCTATAATGGGCACTGCTATAAAGAGCTAGCGTCTCTTGGGCCATCTACTAAAATTCATTCTCGTGTTACTCGTCATTCAATTAAGTCTCATCCTTTTTCTGTTACTGTTCCTAAGTGCTCCAAAAACTTTTATTCGTCTAGTTTTTTTCCTCGAACATCAGTTCTTTGGAATTCCTTCCTTCATCTTGCTTTCCTGATTCATATAATTTGCAATATTTTAAGTCGTCTGTCAATCGTTATCTTGCTCTACAATCTTCATCTTTTCTCTTCCAGTAACTTTCAACACTAATTAGTGGTTGCTTGCAACCTTGTTGGAAGCGAAGATAATTAAAAAAAAAAAAAAAATCTTATATAAATCAGCTAATCGCCACTATCATAAAACGAAAGAAGGAATTTATTTTTATGCCTACAATTTGAAACCAACTCGCTCCTTTTGTTTAACAGGTTTCCCCCTGTATGCATTAAAATAAAATACTTTTCATTAAGACAAAGATTGCAAATTTTGGACGAAGGATTATATGTTTGGCAGCGCTTGATAATTTTCCATTTAGTATCAAACGAAAAGTTTTCTTCTTTAAGTTTCCAAATTTCTTTAGACAACTCCGTATCATTGCTGTACTTAATTAAATTAAAAGATTTTTAGTAGTTTGCATATCTTAACTTGAAAGGGGTCTCGCTAATACCAATATAAACTTTATCTGTGTAATCTGGTTTATTGGATGAAACAGTAGCTTGATACACAATGTTCTTACTTAGACACTGGTTGTTCATAACGCAGGTAGATTTCTTGATGCAGTTGCAAGTTTTTGTTGTTGTTTTTTCATGATTGTATAAAATATTTTGATTATGCGAATTAATGACTGATTTAACGTTCGGCATACACGAGTAGCTAATTTTAAAAAAAGATTACCAATTTTTGTTGCAACATTTTTACTATACAGGGGATTATACCAAATAATGTTTCCTTTGTGATTTTTGTTTTTAGTAGGAACTATATCTGACTGATATTTGAGCTTGGATGAGAAACCCGATTTTATTAATGCATCCTGATAAGGAGAAACAGCTTTTTCAAAATTTTTTTTGTTTGAAGATGCAGTAGACAATCTTAGTTCAATTGTTCGCGGTAGACTTATTAATATGCACAGAGGGTGGTTAGAGTTGGCGTGAATATAATTAAGAGTGTTATCGGGCTTTGAGTAAGGTTGGCAGGTACTGTTGTTAAGATTTAGTGTTAAGTCGAGGTAATTGACAATTTTAACATTACAGCTGATAGATAAATGGAGACCATTGCTTTTAAAAATTTTAACAAAATGCTTCTTTATTTTTTCTATTTGTTGGCCACTACGATTTTTAAATATAGCTAGACCGTCATCCCGGTATAAACCTAATTCTTTCCCGTTGTAATATTGAGATAGTTAGTGCAAGATAAAAATTCCCACTAATTGGCATACTTCTGCACCATCATAAGCACCCATAGATACATCAAATAATTCTCCGTTTTTTTTAATCCAAGAATCGCCATTGGTAAAGATTAAAGATTTTCTCGGGTGCATAATAAATTTCATATCTTCTTGATTTTTAACTAGGTGCTGACCAGCAAACTCTATTGCGTCTCTAAGTAGTTTTACATTAATCGATGGGTAAAAGTCAGTTATATCGAAAATTAAAAATGTGTAGAGGTGTTTTTCATTAATACCTTGAATGTAAAACATCTTGCGAGCTTTGCCATTGGTTTAAGCAGAGCTTTTTTCTCAATGTAACATTGATTTTTGAGATTACAGTTTTGGAAATTCGTCCTACTTCGTTTTTTGCTGGGTTTAACAGGCGAACAGTGGGATTATTTAAAAAGTTTACTTTGTGGTCTTTGAGAGTGATGAAGCAATTAGAAGTACCATTTAACTCAATTTTGTTAAACACATCGTGGTTGGTTAAAATTTCTTTACTTTCCTTATTTATTTTATGGTTTAGATTATGATCAGCTTTTTTATACGTAGATGTTATGGCGTTCATTAAAAGGTGGTTGTACTTATCTTTAGATACTCTGTACATATTAGTTGATTTGTCAGCTTGGATTAGTGCCATGGGCGATACGCGAAGAGATTTTATATCCTTTGATATTCTTTCTTGAAATGAGTTGCGGATTTTTCGAAATTCTATATTTTTTACAAGATTTAACATATCTTTTTCAAATAATGACATTTCTTTAATAGTTGGTGGGCATTTTGCAGATTTTATACCATAATTTATAAACTGAGACGATTCTTTGTTATCAGAAAGTTTGTTTATGAAAAATAAAGCTTTCCACCTCATTCTTTTTATGAGAACCTCAGTTTTCTGCATTAACTGTATTAAAAACTCTTTTTCCGATGGAATTGGAATATTTTTGATAGAGTAGTTGAAGTTAATTTTCTCCATCTTGTGTACGAGTGTAGTATTTTTACCCCTACAAAATCCAGCTCAAATAGCTTTTACCGACTGCCATAATGACATTTGCCGACTGCCATAATGACATTTGCCGACTGACAAAAAGGGTCACATTTGCCGACTAAGGGTCAAATTTGCCGACTAAAAGTCATTGATGGGGGTGTAACACCCCTCCCCCCACACACACACACCTATTGCGCCGGCCTTGTATATACATATATATATGTATGTATATATATATATATATAATGGCCTACTATAGTGACAGGCCAAGTATACATGTCTATTAATAAAACTGAAGGCAAGTTTTTTTTATGGAAGCGTAGATTTTTTTTGGTTTTTAATAAATGAGGTATGGGTCAAATCTTTATATTTCAACCAATTTGAAGAAAATTTTGTGGGTCACCATCTCTGATTTTCCTGATTTTTACATATTGTTATGTGCATTATGTAGATAGGTTAAATTTGAAATTTCAGACTTCCAAGTACAGCGGTTCAGAAATTATAACCTTAGAAACATGATACAGTATCCTCCCTCGATTTTCAAATGGTCAAAATAGACTACTTCAGAGCTGTATAACTTTTTTCTCACTTTCAACAAGTTTCTCATTTTTTTTAGAAATTTTTTAAAAATTTTCTGAATAGTTTTCTCTTTAAAAAAGTGTTTTTTATTAACTTGTATTAAATTAGAGAAAAATTATAACCTCCTCAACTTTGAAAAAAATCCTAAAATTGCTAAAATATGCCAAAATGAAACTAACTAGCATTTTTCTATTCATCCACAAGTCTTAACAGATAAGTTTTTTTTCTTATTTGCTGCTACTGTCTTCAATAAATGGGTACAATATAGGTAGCTTGTTGCAGTTTAGAACTAAAATATGTCTAAAAGAAAAATGTCCATTTACCTTAAAAGTACAATTTTTAGTCATTTTGAGATGCTTGTAAATTTTTCTAACACATTGTTTCGATCTAAGATTAACAGCGTATAAGACCATTAGACCTAACTATCTGGAAATGCAAACATTATAAACTTGTCAAATTCACACCAAAAATGCCAGCATTTTTAAATAACCCTATTTTTCAATTATCAATGGTTGAATGTGTTACTAGAAACCATTGCTCATCTGTGTACTGGCCTATGTAAAGAGTTTAACTAATTATAAGTTATTTCTTAATAAAAAGAAAGATATGGTTGGTTGCCCTCTCCTTGATCTGGTCTATATAGTAGATAGGGGCACAAATAAAGAGGGCAATAGCTTTTTAGAGACCTTCATTAAGGTTCAAATGACGGTCTGAAGTAATTTAGATATTTAGATACTTAAAATCTAAATATCTAAATTAATTTTAAATTGAAAGCGTTATTTCTTTAAATTCTATTTTATTACGGTGATCAGTGGTCTGTATGTGTCTGCCCCCCCCCCACCACCACCACCATCCCTAAGGTGGGGACTAGGGTGACATCAATCAATGGGAGGCAACCAACTTTTAGTAATTTTATTAACTTTTATTAATGTCCTTTTAAGACCATAACATTGTATATTTGCTGGAAAATGTCACACATAGTCAATGTCACTATCAAAATTCAAATCTTATGGTAAAAGCAAAAAAAAAATGCAATAAAGATCTGATGACCTTAGCTGGGTATTCATTAGAAAATGAATCATGTGTGTTTCATTTTGGAAAATGTAAACATATATTTTTGTAATTTGGTTGCCCTCCCCCCCCCTTTCTTAGATTAATTCTACCCTTTTTTAAACATTCAAAAAAACATTTTATTGTTTTAAAGAATAGTAACAATCATTTTTTTTTTTATTTCAAAATAAACTTTGGAATACCCAAGTTGTCCATTATATTGAAAAGGAAAAAGCTATAGACATTATTTTATTACACAAATCTTCAAAAGAAAAAATATTGTTTCCGCGTTAACAAAAACCTCCAAATAAAAAAAAAAACTAGGGTGTTTTGGTCTAAACTTTCCATAAACTACTTTTTCATATTCTTTAGGCCAATGATCTTCACAAATTTGAACTATCTGGAATATTATCTTGAGGTATAGCACTTGTCCATCTTTTTTCGTTCATCCACATTTTTTTTATTTGGAAGACAAAAATTTTCAGACTTTGTAACATTGTAGTTACCTTTGTATCCAGTGACACAACTTTTAAAAACCATGTTCTTCAAATCTAATTATTAAGCTCTAAAAACAAAGCAAATTGAATATACATAAAATTAAAATGTATCGCATATTAAATTAAAAGACCACGTTCTTTTTCTGGAATACGCCATTTAACAAATTATTAATTAGAAATTTATAAAAATAAAAAAAAACTCGCCTGCAGTTTTTTTTTTTTTTTTTAAATACGATTATGTTTACTTATTCTGTGATTATAGTAGGCAATGATATATATATAGTATAAAGAATATACAAAATACATGTTAATGTTTATATACATTTATAGATTCCTGGATCCATCCCAGATACACAGTCCTTTTCTAAAAAGGAGAGTGAGCAAAGAAATGATAAAGGAAAAGTTGAAGAGAACCAGTCATTTATTGGAAAGTATTGGATGTATATACTACCAGTGTTTCTTATATTACTTTTAAGTGCTCAAGCAGAACCCCCTGCTGAAGGTAGCGAATAAAAACAATATAGATGTAAATTTTCTCAATATTCATATATTGTAATATTATGTTGTCTGGTAATATCAATACCAAAAGTTTAAACTTGTTAAAAAATTCTTTGAAATTTAATAAACTGGTACTGATTACAAATATTTATAGTTATTATACAAAAACCTAAATTTCTTACATTATGCATTCATATATAGAGCTTGTTGATAGTATATCAAAGTCTCTAGTATCAAATATTGTCGATAAATATAGAATAATAATATAAACTAGTGCTAATAGTATATAATATATAATACTACTAGTATACAATATTATAAGTATACATAACTATACTATTTTAAGTATACATAACTATACTAACTATAAATTTACTAACTATATTAACTAAAAATAAAAAAAGAATTTTTTCTCTCTTGTATATTATTGTATATTCTCTATTTTTTCTCTATTATCTTAGTAAATAACTTTATTTAACATATAGTTTGTTTTGTGCTATGTGTTTAATGCGAGGAAATTTTATTATCTGCTTTGTTTTTTTGTATTTGTATTGTATATAAAAATGCTTTTCGCAATCATTAAGTATATAGGGTAGATTAAGGCAAAATGAGCACCTCGGTAATATGAGCATACTTAAAATGTAAACAGTGAAGTTAAAGTTGCTTTGTATTTTTTGAATCGACTTTATGTGGTGATAACAGAAATCAGTACAGTTTACGTATATTTATATGCAGTAATTAGAAGTTTTTTTGCATTAAAATATTATTATCACGCATGAATAAATCTGCGGCGCGAAACTTTTATGCTAAAATAATGGAATTTTATTTTTCATAAAGAAAAATATGTTAGTTAGAAATCCGTTCCATTTTTGTTTGGCTATACAATTTTTGTGTTATATGAGCATGTTCAAAATACCCAGTCGTAAAATTGCAGTGGTTTTAATTGCTTTTTCAATAAAAACAAAGCATAGTAAATATTTTTATTATTTTAATATTTTGCTGTAATTCGAAAAATTTGTTATTTTATCAGATTATTTTAAGGTTTATGTTAATAAAATTAAAAAAATAACAAGTTTTTTTGTTTCTTTTTTGCGTATAACAAAGTAGTTTCAATAAAAAGTGGCTTATAGCTTGATCTTTTAATAATAATGTTAATAACGAATCATTGTATGTGGCCTGGGTAATATGAGAATTTTTGCTACTTTTTTAAAACCTCTGTTTTTTAAAAAAGTTTTGGATGCCCAAATATCTAAGTGGATCATGAGTAGTGATCCCTAAAAATCGTTTATTCGCAAAAATTTTGGCTCAAGTATAATTATTTTCGCAAATCAATTTTTGCTTAAGGTGCTCATAATACTTTAATCTACATGGCCGACGACACGGGTTTCAAAGAGGAAGTGCACAGTTGTCAATTTCTAAAAAAAAGTCCTCTATATCTATAAATTTCTTATTAAAAAAAAGTCCTTTACAAAAAAAATAAGGAGCACGTGCCCCCTGCCCCCCTCCCCCGTGTCGTCGATTCTGATCTACTCTAAATATACTGGTATATATAATGTATAAGTATACATATCTATTTTATTGGGAAATATCTGCTGTGGTTCTTTTATTTTATGGTGAAGTTTGTTATGGTAAAAATATTTGTTGTCGTGCATTGAAATTGTCAATGCCAATATTATTATAGCAGTTGATATACATATATATATATATATATATATATATATATATATATATATATATATATATATATATATATATATATATATATATATATATATATATATATATATATATATATATCACGGCTGTTTCAAACGGAGCTTAACGGCTTCTTGTTATTTTTTGAAGGTATTGACTTAAGAGGTGTTACTAAAACTTTTATAACTTTTAAAATATTAAAGATAATTTTGTTTTGTAAAAAGAATAAAAACACCAATAAAATGTTTCATCTTACGATGTTTAATGCATTAGTAAAAAAACTTCTTTAAGTTTAAAAAAAACGCGACAAATGATAAAGTTGGCTGAATTCAAGAAATTTGATGTTACTTTTTATCAGAAAAAAATCAGAAAAATTTATTTCTGATAGTTATTCTCAAATATACCCATTGTTTGACTATTATAAAAACAAAAAAATCTTACTTAATTGTTTAAGGGTAGCTAAAACAGACTTTATTGAGGTCTGAAAGCAAACCGCACTTTTCGCAAAGTTATGAAAAATGTAGTTAAAAGGGGGATTAGCTGTTAAAAGAGTACATTTTTAAACCTAGGAGTTCTTGTTTTAGAAACTTATTTTCCTAACCCAATAAATTCATTGCATTGCAAAATAAAGCCAGATTTTGATTTTGGAATATTTAGTCAAAACATTTAAAGCTTAAGCATTTATTTTTTTTCTGAGCATACAGTTCTAATAATATGGTGTTAAGTTGTTAATAAATAAAGACTCACCAAGTCTAATAAAATAACTCATGACCAAATTTGAGTTTAAGTTTTTGAATTAACCTCGTTTTTGGTAGTAGAATTATTTTATAGCACTTGAATCTATAGCCTCTTCTCTCAGTAAATAAAATGTTTGAATATACAAATAGCTAATTGAAATCTTTTAAAAATTTGTTTTTATTCCCATTAAAAACTGTTTAATAATCAGTTGGTTTACTGATAGGTTCTTTAAGTTGTAAACTATCTTTGTACATCCAATTGATATCAGATTCATACTCATGCTAAACCAGAAAAACAATTGCTCCACTCAAAATTTTGATAACGTTTACAAATTCTTAACTTATTGAACTAAATTTTTACACCAACTTGATATGAGATTTATATTCCATTCTTTAACCAGCGAGGAGGTATGTAGAGCAGAGGTACTGCAAAGGTAGAACTAACTTCTGGTGATAAACATCGAATGGATATGTAAAATATCTATAAAAAAATGTTACATATAATGAAGGACAATATATTTTTTAAATTAAATACACAAACATACAAGATGATACCCAACCAACATACCAGTTGCTCTGATCACAAGTTAATATATAAAAGCTAGATTTTTACATACATTTGATGCAAGACTAGTATTCCATTCTTTAACCTGAGCAAAGGTATTGCATAGGTATAAATAACTTCTGAAGATAGGAACAGAATGGGCACCTACCTAATATATAATATTTGTATATTTGTATTTAATATAATATTTGTACCTAATATATGTATGTATGTATGTATGTATGTATGTATGTATGTATGTATGTATGTATGTATGTATGTATGTATGTATGTATGTATGTATGTATGTATGTATGTATGTATGTATGTATGTATATATATATATATATATATATATATATATATATATATATATATATATATATATATATATATATATATATATATATATATATATAGTAGGAAAAAAATTCAAATATTTTAAGAAAAAACTTTTAATTCAAATATTTATTATTTTATGTTTTTTTGTTTTTTTTAATTTTGTGCATTCTAGCATGTTACATTTGATTTTTTGCGGGGAAAAAATTAGGTTTTTTAATATTTACATTGGAAAAATGGATTAAATGTTGAAAAAGAAACTTCAAATATTTGATGCCTTTTTGTCCGAACTTGGAAACCTTCTTTAATATTGTTGGCTCTTGGTTCTTTTTTATATTTCAGCGTGGAATGTAAAGAAAGTAGCTAGCATCCACGCTGAAGTGTAAAAAAGTGTACAAATTAGTTTATACGCTTCACACGGTTAGCACGGATCTTTATAATGCCTACCTTGCTGTCCACAGAACGCCACTTTTACGGAAAGTTAGCGTACACATCAAGGTACCCTGTGATGCAAATTTTTAAATCATTTAATTTTGTCCGCGGAAAATAATTTAATTTGAATGTTCAAATTAAGTCAAATTTTGACTTCATAGTGCGCCAATAAAAACACTTTATTATTAGATAAATAAAAACACTTTATATACAGTAGAATTTGAACCACTCAATTTAATTTGATAAAAATTGGTGCAAAGGTAGCCAATAGTCACAACGAACTCTGGACAAAATTTCAGCCTGATTGGATGACTGGTGTAGGATTTATTGCAGTTTTAGTTTTAGTTTTGTCAGTTTTTTGCTACTTATACCTCAAAGCGTTACCGATTACTGTAAAATTCGGTCACTATTTTTTAAATAACGGTTACATGAGTGTTCTACTATGTAATACCAACAATATTTGTTATAATTATTTTATCGGTACGTGTACAGTTTTTATTTTACAGACCAAAATGATGACTTGCTACTTAAAACGTGATTTAAATTGGCTTATGCCAATGGCGTTCAAAGTGGAGGCCTTCAAAGTGGAGGGATCAACCTCTCAATTTTTTAAAAAAAATCCATAATTTCTAAAATAATTGCCTATATTTCTAAAACAAAAGGTCCTCGCAAAAAAAAAGTGGGTAGGTCATGGCTCCCTTGACGGCCATGTATGCATAAAGTGAATATACCAACATTTCAAGGTGTAAACTACTGCCAGAATGCAAAAAAATTTAAAAAAAAATGGTTAAGAAGAATTTCTAAGGATACCTACATAGAAAATAAAAATATTTATTTATCTGAAAACAGAACAACTGTGAAAAAACCAAATTTTTTTTATATTGAATAAGATAATTGACTTAAAAAAATTAGATAAGTTAACTAAGATATCCGACTAATAGAAAGTTTGGAGGGCCAGTCGGAGGAAAATTACTTTAACTGAATAACTAATCAGGTTGAAGGGTTGTTTTGAAATAAAACAACCCGTGTGGCAAGTATTATTAGTTTAATAAGTGTGACAATTATCAATAATGTAATTTCCTTACAAGTAAATAGTTTAAACAATTGTTTCCTGGTAAGGAAAGAACTATTCAACAATTATTTCCTTGTAATTTAATATTACCTCAATTAAATCAAGTAAATGTTTCCTTTAGTTTAATAGTTTTTAGTTAATAATATGTGTTACTACGGTAAGTGGATTGTTATCAAATATAAAGTGAGGTCAAATTTTGTAAAAGGCAGAGTTTGATTTATTGAAGTCAATTATAGTGAACTGCCACGATGCCAAATCAAGCAAAGAACCATGATGAAAATCAAAAATTTGTGTGCTTGCTCTGTCTGAAAAAATGTTTAAGACAG